AGAAATGTGTCATTTGCTATTGGGGTGAAACACAACAAGTCATGACACTACATGGAGACACTCATCTGAACGGGTTGAAAGATTTGTTACCTAGACTTTAAACCCACTGTTATTGTAGAATTTAAGTTGTTCTTTTTACAGAGTTAGATTGCTGTCTTTTAATTCTGTGAGTGAATATCAATTAGGATTTTGAAACTGGTAACAAAGTGGGACGAAGAACAGAAAAACCAAGTCATCACTTCCAGTAAGTCCTGTCCCTCGGTATGTTTCAGTGTAGGGCTTTTTCTTTCTCCAGGAATCCTTTCAGATAACTTATCATCCCGAGTGAAACACGCTGTTGGATAATATTTAACTGTCCTCAGCCGTCAGGTCGGTTGAGATGGAACGACTCCACAGAGACATTCACTGTGCCTCCATTGTTCTTTACTCATCATGTAGATCAATGTTTCTCTTTCCTTTTGAGCAGATTGCAAAGACAGACCGAGAGTTTGGCGCTGAACGGTTTGCACTCTGTCTATCAGCAAAGAATTCATTACTGCAGGTTGAACCCACTCAACTCTCTGATCAAAGTCTGAACGGCTGACGAGTCAGGCTTGACCATACAGCCGGAGCGCTCCATAAAAGATTAACTCTGTCTTTTCCTCAACTCCCTGAATCACAGAAATAATCCCACTTGCTTCCCTGTATGTGCTCTTTAACTGGGATGTGAGGGGCAAACAGCCCTTGCTTTTACTTGAGATGCACTCATCAGGGAGTTTGTTGAAGTAGTCATTATTTTTCTGGCATCTCCGTAGAACAGTTCAATTGAAACTGCTTAAATGAAAGTAGCTACTGAGTTCTGAAAAAAGCATAAATTCATATCTCTATGTCACCTTCATGTCATCTGCTTATCAGCTGTCATAAAGCTGCCCTCTTGCAGATTTTTTAACATGATAACATTTTTACAGGATTGATAGATGAATTCTTTTCTGAGGTTTGAAGTAGCAGTTTGGCCAAATATTCAGGTTAAAGTTTACAGCGATTAAACTTGGAAACAAGCAGCCTTCGTCATGGTTCTGTTCATTGTGCTGCCTCTGCATGTGCTCAGTATTTTGCATATCTACGTTTTTATTATTGCTGAGAGCAGGATCAATTAAGTTGATGTTATCTCTCTTAGTAGTACTTTTAAAACTTTACAGCATTTTAAAAGCTTGAAGGGACACATATAGAACACTGTGGTGCTTTTTACAGCACAAAGAGAAAAGGTCAATTGGGCTGAATTTTCATAATGAAACAATATTTTATGGATATGACCCGTACAAATGCCTTCACTTTCACAAAATGTCAAACGTTGGCGTCAGAGGTCTGAAGAGCTCTCTGTACACATGTTTTGCAGATCTGTTTCTTAGGAAATACAGCAGATTATCGTCCTCGCTACAGCACAATTGGTTAACGTTCCTCCCCTTCTAATCTCTGGCACGGTGTCAGAGAGTACAAACCCGCCATGCGCTCAGATCAAAGAGAGGAGTGTGGGAGAGGACACAGGGCCAGAGAATCTCAGGTGGTTCCCCTTCTTTTCCTTCTGTGAGACAAAAGTTTGTATGTCCTCGTTGCCACACCTCATCTAAGCAGACTCAGCATGTGAGCGGCAGCGGTGCTGACCAGGAAATTCCCCAAATCTACTCACTCGCTGCCAGAATTATGTTTTGTATTGCTGCTAAATAGCATGAATCGCTTAAATTAAGTTGAAAAATGGGATATAATAACACTGAATATAACAGCTCTGAGTGAAATAAACTATCAATGTGATAACATTTGACAAAAAGACAAAAAAACTGAAAGCAAGTGGGAATATGATCCAGTGAATAGGATGGGATCATTGAAGTTCATCCATATAGTTTCACCCTGTAGAAGTTTATGTTTTATGGCAGTTAATCCGGGGAACGCTTTAACATGTGTTCGCTCCCCGGTGTCTTCCATCAGTGCAGATGGCCCATGAGAAAAGAAGGAAACTGGTTAACAAATATGGAGAAGTGCTTTTGTTTTTTTCACAGTTGTATTCTTATAGTGCCAAATTATAACAATCGTCTCCATGCTCTTTAAAAATTCAAACCAATTGGGATACAAATCATTGTAATACAATCCAATAAATGATAATAAGTTCTAAATTCAAGTGTTACAGAGCCAACTAAAGAGGTCCCTGGCTATAGGTACCAGCAGATATTTATATAGCCCCTCTTGGTTTCTTGAAGGGTGTCAGAAAGAAAAGAAAAGACATAAACCGATAAAAAACAACTCCAAAGGTTGTTTTGGACGAGCACATGCGATAGCCTGATATCTCCTGCATGTGCATCACAAAGCCAATGGTCAGAGAAGGACTGATTACTTCACAGCCATTGTGAAAACAGGAAGTTGTAGCACCCAAAGAAATCACCCGGCGAACAATCGATTGAGATACGATTGTCAAAGATTTCAACAGAGAATTTTGAAAATTCACACCTTGATATAATTCTATACTTCTAAGTGTTTGCAGCCCTGTTTTGGATCATTTGTCGTCACGGCTGTTTCTACAAAAGATCCTGGAGTATGTGCGCCACGATAGGTTTGTGTTGAGTGGGCATTGTGGGTGTTTTAGTGTTGCTTGGGTTGTATATGAATGTTCCCGGACTAACACACGCATGCATTTTATAAGCATGGTTTGTTTTTCTTCGACACGGTTTAGACACCCCTCCTGTGCCTGGAAGACCAGCCCAGTCGTCCATTCATGACGGAGTGAATGCGATGTCGTCGGTGCCTCACGATGCTGGTACCACCGACAATAAGAAGCCTCCGTCGTTGTGATGACGGTGCCGTGGGAGAGAAACAGAAAGGAGCTGCTCACCCTCACTTTCAGTCTGAGTCATCCTCTCAGTCGTCCCGGCCTACTCACCCGGTGACGCACGCAGATCAATGCCTTTTTTTTTTTCTCAATCGGACGGGTCACAGGTCAATGTTCTGCTTTTCGCTCCGCAGTTGTTTCAGTTCAGCTTTTGTCTCGCTGAAAGTGAAAGCTCAGCAGGATCCCGGTGACCACGGAGCGCACGGGGATTCTGACAGAGTACTTGAACATGGCAAGTGAGCCGATTTTGAAGTTACATGTTAAATTCAATAGGTCCAACTGTGCCAGGGTCAGGCCCAAGTGCAAAAATGACCGTCAAAGAATCCTGTCTTACAAGGGTTCCCATTTCAAAGTGGTCAAATCTGGACAGACCGGGTGTGATGTCAAGGTCAGGTGGGAGTTTTCAGTACTTGGCCTGATCAGAGTGAAAAATGCGAAAACTGATAGCAAAGTGTATAAATAAAAGTGTGAATAAAAGAAAATTTTCTAGCTGTTCTTTCTTTGCTTGCGGCCTCTAAATGTTTTTTGTGTGACTGATTTGTCAATTTACCAAAAATCTGTCCTGCTGTACAGCATAACAGGCACGAGCTGGGAAAAATGTTTCAACAGGCTGCTTTTCTGTGTGTGTGTGTGTGTGTGTGTGTGTGTGTGTGTGTGTGTGTGTGTGTTGTATTGTGTCCTGCGTTTTCAGCTTATTCAGGTTGCTGCGTCCACAATCGCTGCGTTGGCAAAGGTGAATACGTTTAGCCGCAAAGTGACCGCTGACCCTCAGGTCCAGTGTGACCCCCCCCCCCTCCATCCCACCTGCGGGGATTCAGCCTCCAGCTCACCCAGTTTGAAAATCCCTGGGACAAAGCCAGGACGACAGATGGCCTTGTGCAACCACACACACACACAAACCCTCACAGACATAAGTTTGACCAACGCATCAGCAAACCAGACTATTTCCCCTGCAGTCAAACAAGTCTTTGAAGCATCTTTGTTTTGTTTTGTTTCTTCCAGCGAGAAGATATCTGAATATTTTATGTTCCTGGTGAACAAAAAACCCCAGCCCGGAGCGCATTAAAAGGCCAGTTTTCACAAATTGCTGACTAATCCCCTCTCAAACCTGTGTTCTGCCAAACAAACAGGAGGAAACGCACAGGAGGCGGTGCACGGCACACCTGGGCTACACAAAGAGTACAAAACACCTGCCTGTCCATGCTCTCTGAGCAGGCTGGAGGGGACAGCGGGCGCCCCGGCAGCGCTGAGGAATGCTGGGAAAAGACCCGCACTCGTTGCCTCTGGAATGCCCCCAGGCCTGTTGCGTAAGCGTCGGCGGGCTGGCGGCGGCTCCTGCAGCCTCACCGGCCCGACACACCGAGTCTGCCTCTGCACTCTGAGAAGGCCCAAGCCGCGACAAGCTGAAATTATGGCCATTACGTAATTGCAAACTCTCCACCGCACACTTATGGGGACAGATTTACCTCTGACCGCTATTACTGTTTAGATAGGCTGAGGTTTTTGCGGCTGGACGGAAAGCACGAGCCACTAATTTCCTCTTTCCGGACTATCTGGAAGCTACCCATTTGAATCTTCCACCTGTTGCAATGCGGTGTTTCAGTTTCTGCCCGTTTGGGTCTCAGTTGCCACATCTGACTATTTGGTCATTGTCAGCTTGATGGGGCCCTTGTTTCTTAGTTAATTCAGTGTGTTCCGAGCCTTTATGTGGACGTTTCCAAGTGACCGTCCTGCTGCCGTCAGCGGCCTTATTGTCCCTTCGTTGGCCTTTTTAGACACTTTGTTGTTTTTTGGGGACTGTCACGCCAACTGACATTTCCTACAAACAAAACTAATGTCAGACTTGTTGTTTATAGCAAAAGCAGATGAAAATAAAAAGAAGAAACACAATTAAGAATAAATAGCTGTCTATAAATATCATTGCTGGTTTTGATTAGCTCTGTAACTCTTTTGTAACACCAGCGATTATTTTATTTGAAAAACCATTTGCCTCCATTATACTCTTTAAATTTAAAATTTCTTCCCTTACTACATCCAACAATGTCTGGCATCTTTTTGTAAAAGGAAAAGGTTCATTATGAAAACGTTCCCCATCTATGACTATCGAGAAAGTGGAGATATAACAAAGTAAGATTTAGAGGTATGGGTTATTAAGCTGTAATAAACAGCCACATTGTTTTTATTTCACAATGACTTATTGAACAGGTACTGTGGAGATATATATATATATATGTATATATATCAAAAACACCAGCTGACATGTCATATCTAAAATAAAAAAACAATCTGCACACAGAGCTCAAGTCATAAAAGACAGAATAAAAGTGACCAAACATTACAAATAAAGAAAAGTACATTTCCCAGCACACATTTCAATATTGCATACACGTTTAATAGAGTGAAAATCTGAAATGCACTGACTGTAGATGATATATGTGCTGACAAGGGGAATGTTGTACAATTTCAAAGGCCACCGTATGGACTTTAATTCAGCAAACAGTCTGCTCAGCTGCCCAGAGCAGAGGGCAGGCGAGCTATATGATGAGTCATTCCCTACAGTCATGAGATATATCAAAGGATACCAGTAGGAGCTGGTAAGCAGCAACAAGAGCTCTTGGTGGAGCTTTTAAATGTTGAACATCAGGTCTCAGTTTGGTCGTGTAAATATGGTTGAGAGTCCTGAAAATACAAAGACTCCCTCAGCATGGGCCGTATTCAAGGTGCCGAACACATTCACGAGGATTTTGGAGCGAGAACCGACCAACACGAGAAAGCTTTCCAGTACGGGCTCGTGAAGAGAAGAGTGTTTCATTATTGGCGTACAGTGCTAATTTCCTCCCTGGCCCTCCGGCTTGAAAAAGGCGACTAACTTGTGAATGAAGTTTTTAATTAGGTGGCCGTGGCGTGGCGGCGAACCGCAGCGCTTTGTTTAACAGGCAAGGTGAGAGCTGTCCACGCGGCCTTTGTGTCCAACCGGCGACCGCCATCTAGACCGAGTCAAGGCCAGAGCAGAGTATGAAAAACGAAATCATTATAAAAACCATCACATTCGGAAAAAAAAAACACAACCTACAGCATAGATGATCTGTCTCAAAAATTCAGACAGAGAAATTGCAAAAATCTTTCCGTGTCTTCCAAACTAAATATTACAAACAAGATCTAGAAGGGGGGATAAATCATTTCTAATAACTTAAATACTTAAATTATGAAGCAATACAATACTATTCCACTTGCAGCCAGGGGATAAGAAAATAGGTTTGCTCACAGCCTACGCAAAAACACCAAAAAGACGGCAGACTTTTTGCCGAGAGGTCCGAGAGGCTAAACTACACAACCTAGTGATGTGTCCTCCAACAGTCCGCTTAGAAGAAAGGCTGTCTTCTATCCCTTCGGTCCTGCAGTGAGAAGCTTTGGCACAGGAAACACCATAGGATGAGCTGGCACATCACAACACGGTGCTAATGAGGGACACTCATGCAGGCCTCGCTCCAGTCCAGGAGGAGATGAGGTCCGTGAACCCCAACATGCATCATAACCCAACCGCCAGGGCCACAGACGGGCAGAGAGGGGCCGGGCAGAGAGGGGCCGGGCGGGATGCGCGTGGAAAGGGGGGAAATGGATAGAAACAAAGGCTCAAGTAGCCGAATGTGGGGAATGGTTGAGCGTGTAAGGGGGGAACAAAAAAGAAAAAAAATAAAAGATCAGGAAAAAGAAGTTTGTAGGAAGGGCAAAAACAGGTGGAAAAGAATACAGCTTTCTGGAAATGACAGCATTTTTTTCTTTGCCCAAAGTGGTGGTCCTCCCGTTCCCCCCTCTGTTACGGTGCGTCCCCCCCCCTCCATCTCACAGAGACGACTCCACCTCTCTGGGGATGGCGGCCTCGGCCTCAGTCCGGGGCCTCACCTGAACCGGCTCGGTGGCCTCGCTGATCACCTCCAGCGCCGCCGCCCCCGGCCGGCCCTCGCCACCGGCCTTCTTGTCCGCGGTGCCGCAGCACAGCTTGGGCGCGCACTGAGTCCGGCAGGACAGCTCGCACAGGGAGTCCCGCGACTCGGAGCTGAAGGTGACGAACTCCGGCTGGATGGTGGTGGCGTGGATGCCCTCGTCGTGGAAGAAGTCCTTGATGCGCTTGGCCACGTCCATGTAGGAGGTGGGGTCGTGGCACTTGATGTGGGCCGTGGCGATGATGCGGCTTCCGGCCAGCTGCCAGATGTGCAGGTCGTGGATGGCCAGGACGCCCTCCAGGCCCAGCAGCCGCTCGTTCAGCCGGTGCATGTCGATCTGCTTGGGCACGGTCTGCAGCAGGATGAGCGCCGACTCTTTGAGGAGCGGGTAGGTGGTGTAGAGCAGGATGCACACCATCATGACGCACAGCGTGGGGTCCAGGTAGAGCACCCAGCAGGGCCCGGCGTGGGACACGGCCAGGCCCTCCAGGTCCACCAGCGTGTGGTTGACGTGCTGGTGGTCGGTGGCGTGGCTGTTGACACACGTGTTCACGCACAACTCGTCCGGGTCGCAGGGCTTCCACACAAAGGTGAAAATCAGAGCGTTGACCACCACGATGACGGAGCCCAGGGCGTCGCCCAGCACGTGCAGGAAGACGCCGCGCATGTTGAGCTGCGACGAGGAGTCCTGCTCCATCTCGTCGAAATGGGTGTTGCCATTCATCTGCACCTCTGTGCCGTCTTTACAGCTGATGTCTGCAGATAGGGGAGAGAAGAGAAGAAGTTTGGTCTTCTGCAGCTCGACAGCTACATAATCAAATGGACTTTGACACAGAGATACAGCTGAACTGAAATTCAGAGGAGATAAACGGACAGAACAGATATGAAGGCCAGCACAGACTGACATGCCGCACGCAGAAACCAGGCTCATAAAGGGGGGAAAAGTCAGGTTAGCAGAAAGGACAGTTTAGAAAGATTCAAGTGTTAGTTGTTGGCCAGTTGTTACAGCATTCAGCCACATCACTTCAAGCCCAGCTGAGACTGGAAACAAAGGAGTCTATGTCCATTGGAAGGGCTCCATAAAGTCAAGTGGAGAGTAATTAACATGTCTTTACATTGAGTTCTTCCATTTGACCAATCTGTTGTTCTTCCCTTTTCTCACAACAGACACTTAAGAATTCTCAGCCTTGTGACTGAAACTCTGCTTTGAGCCCTTGGGGGGTCAAACACACGGGAGCCCACACACAACTCAGTCACGTGGGTGACATGAGCACAAAGTCTCAACATGTGTAAACTTAAACACAAACAGAGCCAGTAAATTCCCATGAAGCCAATTCAATTAGCATACGCGGCTAGCGTGGAACACAGAGCGGATGGAGTGAAGACTCGCCTCCATCCCAGGGCACGGGGCGGGGGTCATTTATCAGCAGCTAATGGCGTGTCTGGGGCTGTCGGCTTCACGGCTACACTGATGTATGACCCACTAACAGCAGTCAGTGCATAGAGGAGAGGGCAATATAGTAGCCATTTATTGAAACTGGCAGGTCCAGTGGGGGGAAAATGGTCTACTCAATATGGGTTTAACTCTTCAGTGAGCCAGAGAGAAAGACGCTACCAACCTACCGAAAGGGCTTTCTTCTTTAACTAATCTGTTTTATTCACAACAAATTGAGTAGTATCCACACAAGCTTTTGTGTGCGTGTTTGTTTGTGGTTACAAAATACCACAACACCGCTTTCATTATCATTTTAGGCTTACTTTTTAAGAGCGTGAGTGGAATGTGTGCAAAGAAAAGAAGCTTGAAAAAAAACATCACTGAGTCAGGAAGATTCCAGATTGTTGTTAGTCACACAGGCAGCTGAGTGGTGTCGGATTCACATAACGTGTCTTATGTCTTATGTCGTTGATAGTAGCCATGTTTCCAAGGATAAAATGCCCAAACAAATATGTGATACCAAAGGCAAGGATCTGAGGACTGCAGCTGTTAAGGAAAGAACACAGAGGCGTCCGGCAGGCTGGGGATGATAAAAGGGTGCTAGGCCACCTGACCGCTTACAGGGAAGGAGCAGGCTTCTGTCCAGTCAATGGTGGGACATGATAAAGGAGGACAGATCGCATGTCTCTGTTCTGTAAACAAATCAGATTTTTCCAGAAAGTAAAAAAAAAACAAGAACACCTCTAAACTTACCGGTCCTTGGTCTGGCATCACCCGGGCTGTTGTGATTCCCCACAAGGTTGTTGGTCTCCTCTCCGGCTGAGCCATTCCCGGTTTTCCCCCTCTTGTTCTTACTCCCGTGAGAGTGACCATGACCACCGTGGGAGTGTCCGTGGCCTCCGCCGGCATGTCCGCGGAACAGGCAAAGCCCGAGCAGGTTGATCAGGAGCCCTGCGGCCCCCACCCCAGCGACCACCTCGGGGCTTTCGATCTCGTGGGGCTCGGTGAAGCGCTCCACCGCCTCCAGGATGATGGTGAAGCACAGCGCCGTGAGGAAGACGGCGTTCACCAGAGCCCCCATCACCTCCGCCCGGATCCAGCCGAAGGTGTTCTTGTTGGTCGCGTGGGTTTTCTCGGCGAACCGCACGGCCACCAGGGCCACGACCAGCGCGATAACGTCCGAGAGCATATGAAAGGAGTCCGACAGCATTGATAGAGAGGAAGTCATACGACTGACCACTACTTCCACGATGAAGAAGCCAAAAGTCAGTGAGAGCATGCACAGCAGCCGCACACGATTGGGTTCGCAAGCCATTTTTTCTTGTATCAGAGTCCTCTCAGTTTCAATTTTAGATTAAACGTGAGGTACAGTCTCACCGCGTCGTCGTCCGAATCACCAGGGCATCAGCGAACTAGGTCCTCGGTTCAACTCCAAGCTAACGGACTCACGTTAAGCTAGCTGGGTGCCCAAGACAATACGATCAATGCTAACCGCGTCCTGTCACGCCTCTCTTATCTGACAACAACACTTGACTACATGTAAAGACAAACGCTCGGTCCGTTTTTAAAAGATACTAGATTGTAATAACCGTTTTAGTACACCGAGGCCACCCCCAGCATATTTCAGAGAAGTCTGCCGACGAGCTCCAGTTTGCAGACGGCTGAAACTTTGCACCCGAGCCGGTAAACTTTCCACACGGAACAAGGAACGTTGAAGACACACCCATAGTAGCTCCTATTGGCCAATTCTTTACAAGGAGTGATATGACTGGTTGAATTTTACAGCTGCCGCCAGTGGGAGGTGCAAAAATGCCAGGCAACGATGGTTGCTACGCACGCTGGATCAAACTGTAATCTCGCGATGACATTAAATACGTTCATTGAAATCTAGTGGCATCGATACTCAATTCAACGTTAGCCCCAGATTTCAGGCTTTTTGTTGATTTTGTCATTGCTAGGGCTGATCACTTTTCACAGATCAATGCGAAGAAAGAGTAAAGATAATTGATTTAATTTGGGTTTTTAAGTTATGTTCATGAGATACAGTCTAACATTTAGATTTTGACATTTTTTAAATGGTCAATGGTTCTTTTTAGAGAGTTTCTGTTTCCAATTGCGGCTGTCTGTTAATAGACCTTACAAGCAAAACAGGGCTTGAGAGACGTGTCTGCATAATTAAAATGGTCTATTAGCAGTTGTTTTTGATTAAACTCATCATGGAAATGTCCCTTCTAATCATGTGTAAGTATCTGCTAAAAAGAGAACAAAGACCCTGCTTTGAAGGCATATAACCTGTTATCAGAATTCTCACATGTAGCTGATGACCCCTTGTGGGAGCTATCAGTGGTGATTACACTGTGTTTTCAGGCTAACGTGAAATGAAAATTTGAAAGTCATTCAAACGCTGATTCGGGAGAAAATCAACAATCTAAGAAAAATAGAAAACTTTAGAAAATGATTAATTACACTATGATCTTTAAAAGGAAATTGGATCAGTTTTACTAGAATAATGGATATTTCATTGTCAGTGACATGAGATGGTTCTATTCTACTCAAATCAGTCATTTCATTTGTTAAATAAACTAATCAAAGTTTAATAGGAATATTCACGCAGTACAATAAGAATCACAATAGCTGCCTCTAATATTGACACATCACACACCGTCTGGCACACAAAAGAAAACACACTGCTCTGATTCAACACTTCAACAACAGCTTACTTATAAATTATTTTCTAGCTACATCCAGTACAAATGACTCAGTGACTTGCGCATTCATTCACGGGTTTTTAAGTTATGTTCATGAGATCATCGAAGGCCAAGGATCTGCCTGCTCTTGAACTGACAGATCTTTTCCACCTCGCTGAGTTTTTGGGCACGCAGCTTTGCAGCCTGCAGCCTCTTAAACATCAGCTCCTGTGACGTGATGCTCTGACGACTATCAGGCTGCTGGTTCTCTTTGCTTTCGCCAGCAAAGTGGACCTTCCTCTTGCCAGGGGACAGGTTCTCCTCATCTAGAGCAGGATTGATAGAATTAACACCTCTTTGAGTGATAAAAAACTTTATTAACATGATATAAAAAATAAATAAACAGCTTTTCTCAACATACACACACACACGTAAAATAAAGTTTAGTTCTGTTCCAGGCTGAGTGGATCCAGAGCTCTTGGTCGGATTCCCATACCTATGTCTTTGACATGAAGGAGTGCCATGCCCCTCTGCTGCTGCAGCCAGTTGTAATTCTTCAGCAAACTCTCTGCTCTGGAACAATAAACCAAAAGAGGCAGAAACACTATGGATGAATTACGAAAAACAGGCCGAATGACAGAATGATATTTAAATGTAAATAATAAAAAAATAAGTTTTACCGTGCTAGCTTTTCACTTGTTAGACGCTCACGAACACACAGTTCCTGCTCCCTTTCTGTCATCAAAAGGAAAATAAAATGTTTTTGTTACCAGATCATTTCTTTATTTGCACATATTTTAGAGCAACACATGGTAGCCGGGGACTGTGGGTGGAAGAAGGTCCCCATTTGATTGCAACACATTTCTGTTACAGGCAACATGAATAAACCCGTTCCGTTCACACCCATTTCTTCGACTGCGCTGTCAAATCCTGTCAAATCTAATAAGTTATTTGCAGTTCATTGAAGGAGAGCACAACTACGTATGATCATATGCACACGACCTGAACGAGTCCTGTGACAATGCACTTAAAAGTGCTCTGTGAGGTAATTCCTCAGAGGTTTTCCTGGTCGGAAAAGTTTAAAAAAAAATCTGACTCCAATTACAAGTGCTAGTCTGTTAAAAAAGTGGCAGTTTGCAAAAAGGCAAAGGATTTTCAGGTGTGAAACCCTTGCTTTTCTGGCCCCTGATCTCACTTTTCACAGGTGTCGATTAAAAAGTGGGTTTCATCTGGGATCAAAATGAGATGGGGCAGATGCATAGTCCCCGTTTGTTAACACTCTACGAGTGTGATGCGAGGTCACCTTATTCTGTGAATCTTACCCTATTATGACTGTACGGATGGTGAAATGCATTTACTCCCTCCACCTTTCACAGAAAGGGAAAAACACCTGCATGTTTTTTCTTCTGAACCATTCCTCAATCAATCATGCGAATTTAAAGACTTTTTAAAAATACTTTTCTTTTCTGTTTGTTGCCTCTGATCTGACCTTTTTTTTTTTTTTTTTTAAACTTGCCTGACTGGTTTTAAGTTTACAGTGTGTTCACGCTTGTGTTTGTCTTTCGGGTCAGGACCAAAGCCGAAGTCTAACCCGACGCTGACTCCAACTGAAAGTCTTACTCTCCAGTCTCTCTTCACGTTCCTTGAGGGTCTGTTCTCTGTCCCTCAGCACCTGTTCCCGGAGTCGGAGCTCTGCGGTGGCGGCGGCGGCAGCGGTTGGTTGAGGTGGTTTTTGGATGGCACAGTCAGAGTCTGCGGACTTTCGTCCGGGCCGCATCTGAGCCTTCCTCTGCTCCTCTGCTACGGCGTCACTCAACAAGCTGCTCTGGAGAATAGACTCAACAGAGGGCCTCAGATAGTCCTGCCAACACAGAGGGCTCCTTTATGTGTCCCGCCGGCATCAGCACAGCACAATGGTCTGCAGCCTCATGCAATATTAAAACATTGTTAATTCATTCATTTCAAACCTTTAAGTGGAGCATTTTGCTGAGTAAGGTGTTCAGCTCCTCGGAATACCGATATGGAATCCTTCTGAACTTCCCCTCTCTTATCTTCTCTGCCAACTCTTTCTGGTTGTAGGCAGTGAACGGAGGCCTAACAGGATAAAGAGGATGAGCGAATGAAACATCCGGGGGAATTGGCTAAAGCGGAGCAGCTGAAAAACTTACGATAATGCACACAGCTCATACAGCAAACATCCAAGCGACCAAATATCGGACTTCTCGTTGTATGACATCCTGTTTATTTGTTCCTGAAAGAACAGGGATAAAAAGATGGGTAATAACAACTGATTCAATAACTGGTCTTTCAAAGGTATCAGTAGTTTTTATATGAAGAGAGTCAAACAAACAAGTATTCCAATAAACAGGCATTTTAGAAAAGGAAAACCATAAAGTCTAACATCAAACTCACCGGGGACATGTAGTATGGCGTACCAACAAATGTTTTTGCAAAGCTGGTGTCATGATTCAGAATTCTTGCCAGTCCGAAGTCACCAAGCTTGACGTTCTGCCGTATGTCGAGGAAAATGTTGGCCGGTTTCAGGTCCCGGTGAAGAACCGTGGCTCTGCCGTCGCTCCGCCGGTGGCACTCCTTCAGGGCCAGGGTGAGCTGTGCCATGACTCGCAGAACGAACTGCTCCTCCAAATATCGCCTGTCACGTAAACACCTTTATAACCTCCGCCGATTTTGAGAGGAAGAACGTGTGCTCCAAAACTTCCGGCCACTTGCCTTTCTTTGATGCAGCGGCTGATGAGGCTGGACAGGTCCCCGCCTTCACAGTGCTCCATGACAATGTAGAGCGTTGTGTTGGTGCGGTCGATGATGCGGTCGTAGTACCTCACGATGTTTGGATGCTTTAGCTCCCTCAGCAGGTTAACCTCTGACACCAGCATCTGCTTCTCACTCTCTGCCATGGTGCCATAGTCCAGCTCCTTCCAAACAAGGACCTACAAAACAGGTGTGCTCAAATTAAACTGAGATCACATTCAATACATGTACGAGCAAGTGAGAAGAGGTGGATCTCATCCACCACAGGTCAAAGCTCTTTTGAGACTATTAATTGATCATTCTAAGTCACTTTAGTTTTTAAGAATTGTGCCATCGTTTTAAACCCCTGTGGTACCCTAAACATTTAGTCTACGTTAGCCATTAATTTGTATGTCCTGTGAAAAAAAGTAAACAGATGTACGTTATATTTGTAGAGGACTGTCGTACAGTTGTCAAATATTCAGTCAATTTAACAGCTGATGTTAAAAGACTTACAGCATTAACTGTCTCGTGGCTAACAGCTAATACCCCCAGACATGTTGACGTAATCTTAATTTGGCTGCTACTTGTAAAATATACTCACTTTCCCGTCACTTTTACGCCTTATTTTCTGACATCTTCCATAGGAACCGGAACCTATTGTGTACAACACCTCGTAGTCCTCAACACGGGACGGCATTTTGTTTTTTGGATAACAGAAACTAACGTTAAAAGTTACCTAACTTAACATTAGCGTCATTCAACCGTGGTTCAAAATATATATTTTAACCAACACCTTTCAAATAACCGTCTTTCCTTGGAATTCTGTCTTGGCTGTTTAGATTATTGCAATTGTTTGGTTTACTTCACTCGCATGAAGTTCACATGAGCTGCGGTTGGATAAACAGGAAGCGTTTACTCTCTGTTTAAATTGGTGCTTGAATCCGTTATTTCGGTTGGTCTAACGATTCCGCATGGTGGCTCCTGATTGGCCAGTATTCAGAAACAAGTTGTGAGGTTGCTAAGCGCCCTAAAACCGCGAGAGTAGCGCGGGCTGATGACGTATGTGCTGTTGTCCACCAGGTGACGCCAAAAATACGCGATGAAGTCAGTCATCGTGTATTCGTGTGTTCGCTGACTGGAAATCACGAGGTAAATACGATTCATTGATCTGGGGGAACTGATTTACTAGATGGTCTGATTGAGAAAAAAATATATATAATTTGAGAGTTTAGTAAAAATCAGTAGATTGCACATTTTTGAATGAGCAACCTTGATCAAACTGCAAATACACTTGCTGGTACTGCAGTGTCTAAAACTAAATTCTGGACCATTAGTTTCATACCATATACGGAGCAAAAATATGAACGAATAATCATTTTTTTTAAAACCTGAAGCTCCCAGACAAAAGTGTATGTCGTGTAAAACACCACAAGATTGAAAGAAGCATCCATAAATACAAAGCAGAGGAGTCTGTTTTTGAAGCAGACGTTGCAGACCTTTGATGGACAAATGTACCAAACAATAAGTGATTCCCTGCTAAAAGTTTCAAATGTCGCCCTTGATTTGCTGTGTTTGCTGTCTGACAGGGACTGATGTGATCCGCAGGGCTTGTTTGTTTCATCAGGGATCCCCAGGTTCTCCTGAATAAACAAAAAGGTCACTGGCTGTCACCAGGGCAGTTTCCATGGCTACGCATGTAACACAGACAAGGAGGATGATCAGTGTCTTACTGGTCATTTGATTTGACCAACTGGGTTGACCATCTGAGGGCAGTGACATGCAGTGACCTCACACTTGGCCTCTATATCCAGGTATCACATGCGGTTTCCACATATGTCTGCTCGGAGGGAACCGACCCGCTTTATCACTGCAGGTATGTTCAGTTACAAACAACATCAAATCAGCTCTTGTCAATGAATGGATTCAATTAAAGAAATCCAAAAATCTAGAAAGGATTTATATGTTTATTAAGCAAGAATGTCTGTGATTTGTTGAAGATATTCCACTTTTTTTAGAAAGTGAAATGTACCCTGAAAAACTAATTTGTGTCCATTTTTCTGCCAAAAAGAGATGAGATGGATAGCCTGTAGTTTCAACAAAAAAATAAAAGATTTCTGTTGTTTGATCACATTCAGTCAGCTGTACCAATCTGGATTCAAGCTCTACAATCCTCTAGCTGAACTGTCCATAATAAAACTGTAAAGATATTGTATCTGTAAACATATGCGCCCGTCTGTTATATTTCTGGAAGCCAGACACAACACAGGAGCGAGGCAGCCCAGGTTTTAGTTTCAGCATGGAAAGCCAACGCATGACCTTTGTAAATCCTCCTTGCGACGGATGACTTCTCTAAATTTGTGATCCCCGCACGAGATAAACGCGGTGTCTGGGATTTCCGTCGGTTAACGCTCCTCTCAGTGGGGCAGCCTCAGCAACAGTTCAGATTATCCTCTCTGTTTGCCAGCGCCACACACTGAGTGAGTGCCCAAGGTGCTCTGTCGGTCTGCCTCTGCAAAGGTCACTCCTCCAAAGAGCTGGAGGAGTTTGGACCTCAGCCAGGAACCGTGGTAGTGAAGAGGAGGAGTGAGTGGAAAACTGACGGCTAAAAACAACGGAGACGGTTGGGTGCCCGGGGCCACTCTGACGTCATCTGCCCCCGTTAAAGGGCACCGGCGGAGGGACGGACGGCTCCATTCTGCGGAGGCCTCTTCACCCCCCCGGCTGGAGCTACTACCCGGCTGCAGGCGGAGGGGGTTACGGAGGGGGCTTTTGGTCCTCCTTTGGCCTGGGAGTTCCAGCTAAAGTGCAGAGCGGAGAGAAATCAACACATGTAGAGGTGACAAACGAACACATTCGCAATACAGTCTTTTTGTTAGACGCTGCTCACTGTTTTAACTGAATAAGACCAAAAAGCAGAGGCCGCTGACGACATGCTCCCAAACAGCAGTGCACTGAGCTCCATAGCCAACACCAGGAGTACTTTAAGCAAGTTTTACAAGAAATGTCATGGATTACAAGCTTTTTTTCTTCTTGTTTTTTTTTTTTTTGAAGAATTGCCAATGTCAACAAATGGTTGAACCAAAGGTTTAGTTAATTTAAACATAAAACGTGTTAACTGACTGTTGTTTTCTGTTTTATGCTCACCGTTTAAAAAAAGAAAATTGAATTCTTTGGAGACTTTTTTCTCTTTTTGTCCGACGTAAATGAAATTCTGATTCCGGATTCAGGGCTGAACCCGTTAAAAAGGCCCCGCTGGAGGCAGAGAGTACGTGCGTGTGCCAAACCCAGCTGCGTCCGCTCCTCGTGTAGAACAATCAGAACGACACAGTGTGCTCCGTCAGCGTGACAGCAGGCGGGGTGGGGGGGTTTGACTCTGTGAGGGCTGGCTGCTGCAGAAAAACGTTTAACCCGCCCCTCCTCTCCACATCTCCACATCTGGATGTTTTACAGCTGGCTGACTCAGGGGACGCTGAGAGCGCTGGCGATGTGGCCGACAACCGGGCCTGACCCCGAAAATGATTGGATTCATCTGACTGTGTGGTGGGGTGACTTTGAGCAGAAAACAGCTGATCTGGGGGAATCAAACACACAGTTAAAACAACAGAGGCGAAGGAGAGCCAAACAGGGGCTCCGCAGAGGGAACAACACAAACAGTAAATCAAGGCTTTTTCTCACCAGCTGCACAGATAAATTCTTCAAGGTTGTACATCTCAAGGTAGTAAATGTGTTTCTACTGTGTTGTCTGTGGGAATCCACACACAACAATCATGCCGTGGAATAACTATGAGACACATCTGCTTTGCTTTATTTACTTAACTGACAGCGGTAATAACCTGTTGAAGTGTCGACCAGACTTTGAAGAGAAGTTTTAATGTAGTTTTTAGATGCATCAGCAGATATTACATCATAACTCTACTATTCTTTACACAGGCCAAATAATGTCAGTGTTGATTTTTGCTCAAAAGCACCAGTAGAATCACTGTTAAAGATTTTTAATAAAGATTCTGGATGTACCAAAAAAATATTACAATATGTATATTATAGCTTCAGCAGGATGACACAGACACAATGTTTTACTGACTGTAAACAAATAGAGATTTTTTTTAAGTCAATAAATGGTTTGCATGGTGAAAAATTACACCTGGTCATGTTTAAACAGATAGAACAAGGTAGTACTTTTTCTTTTGTTGGTAAAGTGTATAAAACGCTCAAAACATGATTAATCATCAAAACTGAAATAATTTCATAATATAAAGGCATTTATCGTTCTTGCCAGCGTGAATGAAGGTTCAATGTTGTTAAACACATATTTCACAGAATAACCGATCAAAACACTTTTAAATAGTGACATTTGTCATTCTAAATGCCCCCAAAGAAGTCAAAAACAAATATTAGAAGCATTAGAGGACAATAAAAAAAACCCCCAAACTCTCAGACTGATTATGAAATCTGCAGCCTCATCGTTTCATAGAGATGTCGCATAAAACAGAAAAAAAAACGAGAAGCACACTGTTCTGATCTTTATGTTTTATTCCAGCACAAGTTGTCTGTGTTGTAAAATGGCTGTGTAGCTAGGATTTAAAGGAGAAGTACAAAATGGAAAATTACAGACAGTTCTAGTATAATCTGTTTAAATCCCTATTGTGTTCATTTCCTAAAGCCACATCTAGGAAAACATTTTTTCCCCGCCTTCTTTGGAAACATGGTCAAAACATAAAGAAAGAAATGAAGAAACAAAGAAAAAAGATGAGACATCTTTTCAAGTCACTCTCACCATGGAGGGAAATCTGAAAGGGAGACGGGATGAAACACATCTACAGTCTGATTGTTTTCACCTACCTAGTCAGGTAGCCCTTTTTTAGAAAATATTTCACACAGTTTTTACCAACAGTGGCACATATGGAGGGCAGCAACCATTAAAATTCGATGCATTAGTTTGCGCCAGAGGTCTTCAAAGTCTGAGACAGTCAGCCTGCCCTCGGATTAAAATCTGGACATCACACCGTCCATCTTTTTGCTAAGTTTGAGTCAATTCTTGGATGAATAGAGGATGACAATCTATATCTTATTTAGAAATAAGTACCACAATGATGTCTGCGTGCCATGTCCAGACTAAAACAATAAACGGCCCGTGCTTTGGACCGGTTTTTAAACAGTCAGTGGCTCCTAATAAGCACCTGATCTGTGCTCGTCGACTGCATCGTACTCGGAATTTAAACCGTCTGATAATGGAGCATTTCCTCATTTCCTGAGTCTCCCCACCAGGGAGAACCAGCTCACACTTTCAAAACCTCTTGGTTATGACATAACTGCTGCTCATCTGTTGTTTTTTTTTTTATATCATTAAGCAGGCGAAGGAAATGACAAACAACTGACCTCAAAACCACAACATGGGTACATTCGAGAGAAACAACGGGGATCCCTTCCTCACGGGCTCCGTTTTCTCTCGACACGCTGAAATCCTCCGTATGACCGAAACCAAATGTGTCAAGAGGGAATGCAAAGAAACAGCATTGTCTGGGATTGTGGTCGACCAGCACGTCCAGTAAGGCTTGAGAGTTCTCCCACTAGATCCTGACTATTTGCAACTGGGCTCATGTGCCTCTGTGCGCATGGCCCTACAGTAGCTATAAAGTCATGAAGCACATGATAAAAAAAACAAAAGAAACAAAAACAAATCACAAGAACAAAAAAAACAACAAAAAAAGACCAAAAACAAGAGGGTAACACTGAACAGTGAAGGTAAACTCCTTTCTTCTTCTGCTATTTTAAACATTCATATTCCAAAATAAAAATTTCTGAAATCATCTCGGACCAAAAGACACTGCAGTCATTTCCAACATTTTCTCACTTATATTATATACAAGATTTAAACATACCAGATCGTCAGAAAGTAGAATCATGTCATTTAAAATGAAATCAAATTTGACCACTGGATAACTCTGACATCACAGAGCAACATGACATGATTCCTGTGTGTATATGTATATATATGTATATATATGCATATATATGTATACATATATATATATACACAAACATATATATATATATACACATAAATAAATGGGGGGAGGGGGGGTAAAGACAACCACACACACTCACTTAGGCAGGTTATGCTGTAAATTTACAGTTATGACACCTATAGTTCTTTAAGCCAAAATCTCTATTGTAGAATGCTGAACAGAGTAGCTTTCTATTAAAAACAAACAACCGAAAAAAGAAAAGAAAAAAAGAAAACCCTAAAAACAAAACAAAGACGTTTGTCTGTGTCTGTTCCCACCGCTGACACTAAGCATATGGCTTAAATATTTGTAAAACTATGTAGTCCGGAGGGGAGTGGGACCGGCGGCCCTCTCGGTCAGCCTTACTTTACTTACTGAAGTGACCCGGAGACAGAGGCCTACACTGCTGTGTGTGGCTGCACGTGAGCCCGAGGGCCAGGGGTGGACAGGGGGAATCCAAAAAAAGGGGCCTTTTTTTGGGGTGATGAGACTGCATCGTATTTCCCTGCTTTTCCAACCGCGTACTTTTTCTTGTTTTGTTTCGTGAATGATCTTCTTTTTTTTTTTCTTCTCTTTTCCTCCCTGACGGACAGCCTTGGTTACTCATGCATCATAGCCACAATCCCTTTAGGTTCTCAGCAGGGCTGCCGGTGTAAACATGATCCCCCTTTTTTCAGCAAGCTCACAAAACGGCCTCAACAACAGACAAAGCGGACAGAGTCCTGACAAATAAAAGATAGAAAGAAAAAACAAAAAAAAACAAAAGAGAGACATTCAAAAATACAATGGCTGTTGTGGGATATGCAGGTTAAAGGAGAAAAGGAACAAAATTAAAACATCGACAGCTACCGTTGGGGGTTATTTCCTGGGAGAGGGAGCGGTTAGGGCAGTATGGATCCTTAGTGCAATGAAGGCCAGAGGAGCGGCCGGCCGCGGGGCCTCAACGTCCAGACAGCCGCCCACTCGCTCTGGAAGGTGTAGCCAGCCGACCCATCAGCAGGCTGAGAGACAGGTCCAGTGGGCTTTCGCAACTCTCACCGGGAAGAAGAGTAAGGGCAGACGTTTTGCTTCTAGTCGCATGTTAGTTCGCGCACGTGTCCACACACACACACACACACACACACACACACACACACACACACACAC